CGCGAAGGGAGTCAGGGAGGCGTGCGACTACGTAGTAGAGAGCGATGTACATGGGGGGGGGGGGGGGGGCCGCGGTCGAGCAGGCGGCCGGGGCCGCGGTAGTAGCGGGCGGCGAGGCCGTGCGAGCAGGCAGCCGGGGCCGCGACAGGAGCGGGCGGCGGGGCCGCGGTCGAACAGGCGGCTGGGGCCGCGGTCGTAGCAGGCGGCCGGGGCCGCGATCGTAGTGGGCGGCGGCCGCGGCGTAGCGGGCGGCAGGGCCGCGTCGAGCAGGCGGCCGGGGGCTGCGTCGAGCAGGCGGCTGGGGGCCGCGACAGGAGCGGGCGGCGGGGCCGCGGTCGAACAGGCGGCTGGGGCCGCGGTCGTAGCAGGCGGCCGGGGCCGCGGTCGTAGCAGGCGGCGGCCGCGGCGTAGCGGGCGGCAGGGCCGCGTCAAGCAGGCGGCTGGGGGCCGCGTCGAGCAGGCGGCTGGGGGCCGCGTCGAGCAGGCGGCTGGGGGGGCCGCGTCGAGCAGGCGGCTGGGGCCGCGATCGTAGCGGGCGGCTGGGGCCGCGACTTAGCGGGCGGCTGGGCCGCGTGTGGGAGGGAGGCGACACGGAGGGTCGCTCGATAGCGGAAAAAAAAGTTGAGCGCGCCTCGGGGCGCGCTTCGGTGGGCCCTAGGCAGAGTTCCACAGGGAACCCGCTCTATACCATGTGAAATGAGTAAGCAGGAATGAATGAACTATGAATGAAAGCAGTACAAATATGAAACCCTAACTGGGTTGTACCCCCTATGGGATACCCCACTACAGCCTACACAGCAGTATAAGCTATAGATATGTTCTGACATTCTCATTATTGATATAGTTGATCAGTGTTTAAATTTTTGGCACTCTGAGTGCTCAACGTTTTATTTTTTGATACCCTGAAAAATCAGTGTTTTCCCTTGGGATGAAACTGAAAATCAGTATTGCTAGGTGTCAGAAACTGAATTGTGTGTGCATTGATGTGGGTTGGGGTACATATGCCTAACCCTAACATTTGTACCCCATAAGACAAGCCTCACTACAAGCTATAACATTTGATACACCCCCATATGCCTAAGTGAGGGGTGCCAAGCAAAAACCAAAAGTGTACGGTCATAAGACCAATCACAAAGAAACAAAGCTCAGGGTAGATCACAATGTCACCACACATTCCGAGCACAAGCAGAATGGCCACAAGGCCAATTCAAGAGTCTACAGGTGTATAAGCAACGTGTATAACAAAAACAAGCAACGTCTACACAAGATGAGAACTAGTGTTAACGAGACCTAACTACACACAATACCTGTGGTGGTCACAAGGCGCAAGCGCCTTGGTGAAGATGTCTGCAGTGTTGGCCTCGGACTCCGCAAAGTCCAAGCGAACCTGTCCACGCCTCGGCAACTCTCGCAGAAGAAAGTACCTGACGTTGATGTGCTTCACTCTGCTCTCCAGTCGAGGCTCCCGACAGAGAAGAATCGTCGTCTTGTTGTCAGTGAACAAGGTCGGTGCAGAGCTTGGCCGCTCACCAAGGTCTGTGAGCCAGAAGGTCAACCAATGCAACTCCTGTGTAGCCATGCTCCAGCGTAGATCTCAGCCTCAACGGTAGAGGTCGAGACCGAGGAGGAGCGCGTGGACCTCCACGAAATAGCTCCAGAGCCCAGGCTGAAACAGTAACCCTGAATAGACATGTGGGTCTCGGCGTCGTCTGCGTAAGAAGAGTCACATTGACCAGTAAGGACGACCGGCTGTGTCCCTCCAAGTACCAGCCCCATGCCTGATGTCGACGCTAGGTACTTTGCCACCCTCACAGCAGCGGTTTAGTGAACAGATCGGTGTCTCCCTGGCGCAACAAAGCGAGCAACGATGCTAAGAGGGAAGGCGAGGTCCGGACGAGTACAAGTCATCATGTACATGAGACAGCCCACAAGCTCTACATAGGGACCACTAGGCTCAAACGGCTCATTAGGAAAGGGAGCAGTGAGTCTGTGGTCAACAGCAAGAGGTGTGCGCTGTACTGTGGAGTGCTGAAGCTCGAACCGCTGAAGGACCTGCTGCACCATGTGTGACTGTGAGAGTGTAATGGTGCGAGCGGCTCTGTCCTTGGTGATCTGCAGGCCAAGGTAATGGCGTAGCTCACCAAGGTCAGTGCACGTGTGTCTCTTCTGCAGTTCGCGCTTTACGTCAGCCAAAGCAACCCTGTCAGCAGTGGCAAAAACCAGGTCGTCGACGTAGACCAGTACAAAGAACGGTGTGGATCCACGACAAACAAATAACGACGGGTCAGCAGAGACGGCTAGAAACCGAGGTCGGACAGGGTAGAATGAAGGGTGTCGTGCCACTCACGAGGAGCCTGACGGAGACCATAGACCGGTCGCCTCAGCCTCCACTAGGTCCCAGGAGGGAAAGTGCCAGTGAAGGCCGAGGGATGATGCAACCAGACCTCCTCGTGTAGGCTACCCTGAAGGAAGGCAGTGGAGAAGTCAAGAGAGTGTAACTCGTAGTCTCTCTGTGCTGCTACGTGCAGTAACACCCGAAGCGTGGTCATCTTCAGGGTAGGCGCGAAGGTCTAAAAGAAGTCAACTCCCTCGCGCTGACTGAAACCTCTAGCCACATTGCGTGCCTTGAAGTCCGGAGGAGATTCCGGGGGCCGCTTCACCTTGAAGATCCACATGTCATCGACTACGTTCGCGCCAAGAGGGGGGAACCTCATCGACGTAAGTGCTTGTGGATCTGTAGGAGGCCATCTCTGAGTCCATGGCAGCTCTCCACTGAGAGGCCCAAGGCCCTGACGCTGCCTCAGCGTAAGTGCGAGGAGTCGGTATGTCAAGGGCGTCGGGGTCTCCCTCAGGAGCGAGCAGCATGGCACAGAGATGAGGGGAAGCAGGTGCCAGGAACTCTAACTGAAACCGCCTGTCCTCTAGGGCGTCACAGCCAAGGGTAGACTCACCCCTGACGGCCAGAGGACTGGTAGGAGGAGCAGCCACAAGACCGGTGGCGCAGTCAAGGCGGCGAGTAGAGGCAAAATCAGTGACTGCGGCAGTAAGAGCGGAGATAGAGGACAGAGAAGGACGTGGGTTGGTAACAAGAGAGGCGAGAACATGAGACAGAACAGGACGGTACGTGCGGTAGTAGTCCGTGATAAGAGTAGAGAGGGAAGCAGTGAGAGCCGACTCAGGAGGAAAAGGAAGTTGCGGCGGATGCTATTGCGGCTGCTGCTGCGGCTGCTCCTGCTCCGGCTACTGCTGCTGCTCCGGCTGCTGCTGCTGCTGCTCCTCCAGCCGTTGTAGCTCTAACTGCTGCCGCTCCAACTCTCTCTCCTCTCGCTCCAAGTGTCGCGATAGATATTTATGTATGTTAATAACTGCCTGAAGCTTTAGCTTTAGTGTAGTTATGCTTCCTTGCTATTGGGTGGTGCACCTCTTGTTTGTCTTTCTCGACTATATCTTGTATGCTTTGCTTTTAGTGAAGCTAACTTGTTTGGTCAACTCTCTTGATTCTCCCTTGGCACAACTCCCTCGATACCCGCTTGGCCTAGGCCTCTAAGCCTAGGCCCTTAGTTAAACCCGGTTACCAGCTCATACCGTATTGTATCACCAACTCCAGCTGCTCCTCACGGGCACAGCGAACTCGGGCCTGGTGCTGGGTCGGGTAGGGGTGGGGGGTAGGAGTAGTGTCCGGAGCAATGGTAGCCCCAGGACCGCTCTCCAAAGAACCAGACGCACCACCCCCAGAGCCAGCACCACCAGAAGTAACATGGCCCGTCCCACGCTCTCCAGGTCCAGCAGAGGGTGCACCCTTAATCGTAGCACCCCCAGGGACAGCTCCACTAACACCAGCTCCCCAAAGACTAGAGTGTCCTGCTGTCACGGGCTCAGCTCCAACTCCAACGCCCCTAGAACCAGGACCTTGCACAGGTACGCTCTCTGCTCCAACTCCAGCACCTCTAGAGCTAGCACCTTCAGGGTCCTCGCCACAAAGACCGGCTCCCGCAGGGTCTGCTGTAGGCTGGGAGGAGGAATGCGGGGAAGGAGGTTGCACCTCAGGGGCTACCGAGGGGGGAGGGGTAGCGTGGGACACACCTGACGGGGCGGGACCAGGGGGGGGAGGCTTGTCAAATGTTGTAGCCTGTAGTGAGGTTTGTCTTAGGGGGTACAGAAGTTAGGGTTTGTTACATGTACCCCAACCAACATCAATTGCATCATCATTCCTCATTTCGACATGGTATCAGCTAGGTTAGGATCCTGTGGGATCCCGTTCCTCCGTTCTCCGTTCGTCCCTCCCGAGCCTGATCCTACCTCTCGTTCGTACCGGTTCCGTTGTTACCGCGCCTAGTACCGAGCCTAGCGCCCTCTCCCCCGTCGCTTAGCGCCCTTTCTCCCCGTCGCCTAGCGCCCTTCCCCCCCCCCCCCCCCCCCCGTTGCGTCGCGCCCTTTCCCCCCGTCGCCTAGCGCTCTTTCCCCCCGTCGCGTCGCGCCCGTTCCCCCCGTCACGTCGTGCCCGCCCTTTCCCCCCCGTCCCGTCGCCCTGTCCCGTCGCGTCGCCCTGCCCCGTCCCGTCGCCCTGCCCCGTCGCGTCGCCCTGCCCCGTCCCGTCACCCTGCCCCGTCGCGTCGCCCTGCCCCGTCGCGTCGCCCTGCCCCGTCCCGTCACCCTGCCCCATCGCGCCGCCCTGCCCCGTCGCGTCGCCCTGTCCCGTCCCTACGCCCTGGCCCGTCGCCCTACCCTACGCCCTGGCCCGTCGCCCTACCCTACGCCCTGGCCCGTCGCCCTACCCTACGCCCTGGCCCGTCGCCCTACCCTACGCCCTGGCCCGTCGCCCTACCCTACGCCCTGGCCCGTCGCCCTACCCTACGCCCTAGCCCGTCGCCCTACCCTACGCCCTGGCCCGTCGCCCTAGCCCGCTCTTCCGCTGCGACTGAGTCCCCTTCCCACCTGAACCCTAATTTGCCTCTTCTCCCCGGTTGTTACTCGCCTGTTCGTTCGCGTTAGTTCTCACTATGGCGACTCCGCGAGTTCTTCGTTTCGACGATGACGGTAGACCACTTGACTTTTCCGTCTGGCTTCTTCGCGCTCGCCGTCTGTTAGAGAGTCAGGTCCAGGGGGGCGAGACCCTCTGGTCGCACGCTACTGGTGACCTCCCCGAGCCCCCCGAGCCTACAGCTTTAGGCCCTGCTCCTCACGACGCTGCTACAGCTCGCTTTGCCCGTCAGCCCGCTGACCGGACGGCTTGGACGTCGCGTGACGCTGCGGCCTGCATCGCACTCAGCAGCCTCCTCCCTGAGTCAGAGGAGGTCCACTTTACTCAGGTTCGCACCGCTGCTGCGTACCTCACTGCGATTAAGGCCCGCTACTCTACTCCCGCTACTGTCTCTCTTGGCCGTCTTTTCCTCCCGTTCCTGTTTCCTGATCTCGCCTCGTTTGAGCGCTCTGCTGACTTGATCGCTCACCTCCGCTCGCTCGACGCTAGTTACCGCGCTGCTTGCACTGAGGCACAGCTTGCACTGCTTCCTCCCCCCATGGCGATTACTGTCTATTTCATCGCCACTAGCCTCCCTGGCCGCCTAGCCTTCGTTCGTGACGCGCTTCTGCTGAAGCACCCTAGTGAGCTGACTATCGAGGTCCTTGAGTCTGCACTCAAGGACGTCGAGAGCAACCTTCGCTCGGTAGCTGCCGCCTCTGGTACTGTGTCCCCCCCACTCTTCCACGTGTGCACAGTCCCGCAGTTACCCACCTTCACTGCCTCTCTCGCCACTGCCGCTACTGACGCGACTGCGGCTGCTGTTACGACTGCGTCGCGGTCCCGCGGCAAGGGGGGCAAGAAAGGTAGTTCTGGTGGAGGTGGAGGTGGAGGTAGCGGAGGTAGTGGGGGTGCTGTTGCGACTGGCGGTGGTGGGAGTGCAGCGTCTGGAGAGACCCCTCGTGCAGCGGCTGGTGACTCCACTGCGCCTGCTGGTGGCGGCGACCCCCGAGCTCGTCAGTCGCCTCCTGTACTGCCGACCCCGCTAGGTGGAGCAGCGGCGTGGTACCAGGCTCAGCGTCAGCAGCACCTTCAGCAGCAGCAGCAGCCCCTTTCCTCCCGCCAGCCTCAGCAGCAGCAGCGTCAGCAGCTGGCTCCGGGGTCGGGGCTGCGTCAGCCCCAGCGCGGTGCTTCTTACCCTCCCTGCACCTATCAGGTTCTGACAGGTCCTCGTCGGGGCCACCCTTGTGGCCGCTTTCACCCCCCTGGTCAGTGCTTTGCTCAGCTCACTGACACGGTCCGGTTGGCCTACGGGGTTGGCGGTCCTGCTCTTGACTGGCTTCCTCTGGTTCAGCGCTACGGCTCCGCTCTGTGGGGCATGTCTGCTGAGCAGTTAGTTGATCTGATTGGTGCTCCTCATGCTATGTATGCTGTTGTTGACTCTAGTGTTTCTGACTCTGTTTACTCTGGTGTTGTTAGCTTAGGTGCTAGTCTTGCTCAGTTGCCTGTTGCTAGTGTAGGTTCTTGTGTAGACTCTAGACCAGCGACTACCTCAGAGGACGCTTCGCTGTCGTTCACGCTGGACTCTGGAGCCTCACACTGCTTCTTCCGGGACAGCACGACACTTACACCACTTCCTGCGCCTGTTTCTGTGGCTTTGGCTGATCCCACTACGGGACCAGTCACTGCACGTCACACTACCACTTTACCGTGTCCTGCTGCTCCCTCCGGGTCTCTCACTGGGTTTCACGTCCCCTCGTTCTCCCGGAACTTGGTGGGCGTGCAACCCCTCGTGAGTCAGCACGTGGGTGTGTGGTTTGAGCCTTCTGGAGAGACTGCGGTGTGTGTTGACGGAGACTCTTACCAGCCTCTTGCTACCTTTACTGCTGAGCCGGGCTCAGGTCTCTACACTCTTCACACTGGCCCGCGTGCGCCGCAGCAGCAGCCGCAGCAGCAGCAGCAGCCGCAGCCGCAGCAGCAGCAGCAGCAGCAGCTGCACCAGCGGTCGCACCAGCAGCCGCCCCTACTGCCACTGCCCCCGGTTCCCCCCCCCGTTCGGGTCCCCGCGTCTCACCAGGTTGCTTCGTCCCCCCAGGTGTCTGTGTCGCGTCAGGTTCCTACGTCTGTTCCAGTCGCTGCGTCATGCTCCTGCCGGTCGCTTGCCCACCCCACCGTTCTGTGGCACCACCGGATGGGGCACCCGTCCCTTCCTCGTCTGCGCGCTATGTCTAGTCAGCGTCTTGTCCTAGGCCTCCCACGTGTCTTGCCGTCGCTGCCGCCTTCGCTTGCGCCGCCGTGTGGTCCCTGCGTCGAGGGTCGGCTGCGCGCCGCCCCTCACTCCTCCTCCCTTCGTCCGGCCACCGAGCCTTTTGAGACGCTTCACTTGGACGTCTGGGGCCCCGCCCCTCGTCTAGGCCCTGAGCGTGAGCGCTACTTTCTGGTGGTCGTTGACGACTTCTCCCGCTACACCACAGTGTTCCCTCTGGCGAAGAAGTCTGAGGTGACTTCTACGCTGATCAGGTGGCTGCTCACCACCGAGGACACTTGTGGTCGTCGTGTCAGCTGCCTCCACTCCGACCGTGGGGGTGAGTTTCGCTCCGGCATTCTCGCTGGATTCTGTCGCGAGCAGGGCATTCGTCAGTCCTGGACGCTTCCAGAGTCCCCACAGCAGAATGGGGTTGCTGAGCGCCGCATAGGCCTGGTCATGGAGATCGCCCGCACCTCCCTGACTCACGCCTGTGCCCCCCATTTTCTGTGGCCCTACGCGGTCAGGTACGCCGCGCACCAGCTGAACCTCTGGCCACGTGTCTCTCGACCAGAGGTTTCACCGACCAGTCTTTGGACAGGGTCCCCTGGTGTTGCGTCGCGGTTTCGTGTCTGGGGGTGCTTGGCTCTTGTCCGCGACACCTCCGCGGACAAGCTCTCGCCTCGTGCCGTCCCCTGTGTCTTCCTTGGTTTCCCTGAGGACTCCTCTGACTTCACCTTTTACCACCCTCCCTCTCACCGGTTCTTTGACTCCCGTGACGTCCGTTTCGAGGAGTCCACTCCGTACTACGTCAGGTACCCCAGTCGAGGTCTCCAGGTTCCTCCTCCCCCCCTCTTCCTGACTGCCGCTCCCCCTCCTGTTCCCCCGGTACAGCCTCCCCCCCCTGGTCCAGCCCCGTCGGGTGTGTCCCAGGCTACCCCTCCTCCTTCGGTAGCCTCTCCGGTACAGCCTCCCTCCCCACAGTCCTCCTCGCAGCGTGCCGCAGGTGCTAGCTCTCGAGAGGTTGGTGCTGCGCCTGTTCCTGTACCGGTTTCTGGTTCTGGGGGTGGTGGAGTTGGAGCTCGAGTTGGAGCTGGAGTTGGAGCTGGAGTTGGCACTGGAGTTTCTGGTTCCGGGGGTGCTGGGGTTGGAGCTGGAGTTGGAGCTGGAGTTTCTGGTTCTGGAGTTGGAGCTGACCCGATGGGTGCAGAGGACTCTTGTCGTCCGGGAGCTGGTGCTGGTCGGGCGGACACTGGGGGTGAGAGTGCGCCTCCTTCGGGTTCTGGTGAGCCTGGGTCTGGAGCTGGTGTTAGTGCTGCCTCTGGGGGTGGTGCGCCTGGTTCTTCGGGGGTGGACTCTGGAGCTACCGCTGCTTCGGACACTACTCCGCCCCCCCACCCCTACCCGACTAGGCACCAGGCTCGTTTTCGCCGTGCCCGTGACGAGGAGCTGGCGTTGGAGAGAGAGGAGAGGGAGTTACAGCGGCTGGAGGAGTAGCAGCAGCAGCTGGAGCCGCAGGAGCAGCAGCAGCAGCAGCAGCAGCTGGACCCGCAGGAGCAGCAGTCCCAGCAGCAGCCGCTTCCGCAGCAGCAGCAGTCGCAGCAGCAGCAGCAGCAGCCACTTCCTCCTCCTGTCTCGGGTCTTCGGTCCCTTGGTCTCCCCTCCCCTTCTCCTCCCTCCTCCGCCTCTCCTCCTGTCTACGGTCCCACGTTTCCTCCTCCTGACTCCTCCCCCGCTGTTTTCCCCAGTTCTCCGCCTTTGTCCTCTCCTCCTCCGTCTCGTTCTTGGGCTACTCGTCGCTCCCCTCGTGCTCGTCCCTCGTCTCCTGTTCCCTTCACTGACCTTCGTACTGCCTTCCTTCTTTCTAGTCCACCTCGTCCGTCTCAGTCTGTGCTTCCATCTCCTCCTGAGTCGGCCCTCACTGTGTCGCTCCCTACTCCTGTCACTGACTACTACCGCACGTACCGTCCTGTTCTCTCTCGTGTTCTCGCCTCTCTTGTTACTCACCCTCGTGCCTCTGTGTCCTCTGTGTCCGCTCTTACTGCCGCAGTTACTGACTTTGCCTCTACCCGCCGCCTTGACTACGCCACCGCGCTTGTGGCTGCTCCTCCTACCAGTCCTCTGGCCGTCGGGGGTGTGTCTGCCCTTGGCTGTGACGCCCTAGAGGACAGGCAGTTTGAGCTAGAGTTCCTGGCGGCCGCTTCCCCTCATCTCTGTGCCATGCTCCTCGCCCCTGAGGGTGACCCCGACGCCCTTGACATTCCAACTCCTCGCACTTACGCTGAGGCAGTGTCAGGGCCTTGGGCCTCTCAGTGGAGAGCTGCCATGGACGCAGAGATGGCCTCCTACAGATCCACAGGCACCTACGTCGATGAGGTTCCCCCCCCTGGGGCGAACGTAGTCGACGGCATGTGGATCTACAGGGTGAAGCGGCCACCGGGATCTCCCCCGGTCTTCAAGGCGCGCTACGTGGCTAGAGGTTTCAGTCAGCGCGAGGGAGTTGACTTCTTTCAGACCTTCGCACCTACCCCGAAGATGACCACTCTTCGGGTGTTACTACACGTAGCAGCACAGAGAGACTACGAGTTACACTCTCTCGACTTCTCCACTGCTTTCCTTCAGGGCAGCCTACACGAGGAGGTCTGGTTGCGTCGTCCCTCGGCCTTCACTGGCACCTTCCCTCCTGGGACCCAGTGGAGGCTGAGGCGACCTGTTTACGGTCTTCGCCAGGCCCCTCGTGAGTGGCACGACACTCTGCGTTCTACCCTCTCTGACCTTGGGTTCCAGCCGTCTTCTGCCGACCCGTCGCTGTTCGTTCGTCGTGGCTCCACACCGTTCTTTGTTCTGGTTTACGTCGACGACCTCGTTTTCGCCACTCCGGACAGGGTTGCTTTGGCAGACGTGAAGTCCGAACTGCAGAAGAGACACACGTGCACTGATCTTGGTGAGCTGCGCCACTACCTTGGCCTGCAGATCACCAGGGACAGAGCCGCTCGCACCATTACACTCTCACAGTCACACATGGTGCAGCAGGTCCTTCAGCGGTTCGGGCTTCAGCACTCCACCGTACAGCGCACACCTCTCGCTGTTGACCACAGACTCACTGGTCCCTTTCCTGACGAGCCGTTTGAGCCTAGTGGTCCCTACGCAGAGCTTGTGGGTTGCCTCATGTACCTGATGACTTGTACTCGCCCGGACCTCGCCTTCCCTCTCAGCATCCTTGCGCGCTTTGTTGCGCCAGGGAGACACCGTCCTGTTCACTGGACGGCAGCTATGAGGGTGGCGAAGTACCTAGCGACTACATCAGGCGTGGGGCTAGTTCTTGGAGGGCAGCAGTATGTCGTACTCACTGGTCACTGTGACTCCTCTTACGCTGACGACGCTGAGACTCACAGGTCTACTTAGGGGTACTGTTTCAGTCTGGGTTCTGGAGCTGTTTCCTGGCGTTCCACGCGCTCCTCTTCTGTCTCGACCTCTACAGCTGAGGCTGAGATTTACGCTGGTGCCATGGCGGCACAGGAGTTGCGTTGGTTGACCTTCTTGCTCGCCGACCTTGGTGAGCGGCCGAGCTCTGCACCGACGTTGTTCACTGACAACAAGGCGTCGATCCTCCTCTGTCGTGAGCCGCGACTGGAGAGCAGAGTGAAGCACATTCACGTCAGGTACTTTCTTCTGCGAGAGTTGCAGAGACGTGGACAGGCTCGCTTCGAGTTTGTGGAGTCCGAGGCCAACACTGCAGACATCTTCACCAAGGCGCTTCCGCCTCGTGACCACCAAAGGTGTTGTGTGCAGTTAGGCCTTGTTGACACAGGTTCTAGTCATGTGTAGGCTTGAGTTTATTGCCTGCTTCGTCTGTACTCTTGCTATATATACTTGTGATCTCTTGGACTGGCCTTGTGGCCACTGTTGCTTGTGCTCAGAGAGTGTGGTGACGTTGTGATCCACCCTGAGCTTTGTTTTCTTTTGGACTGGTCTTGTGACCGTACTCTTTTTTATTTTGCTAGACACCCCTCACTTAGGCTATGGGGGTGTGTCAAATGTTGTAGCCTGTAGTGAGATTTGTCTTAGGGGGTACAGAAGTTAGGGTTTGTTATATGTACCCCAACCAACATCAATTGCATCATCATTCCTCATTTCGACAAGGCTGTACCGAGGGAGCAGGAGGGGGAGCTGAAGTCAGGAAGAGAGGGGGAGGAGGAACCGATAGACCTCGACAGGGGTACCGAGTGTAGTAGGGGACTGACTAAACAAAACCAACGTCGCGGGAGTCAAAGAACCGGTGAAGGGGAGGGTGGTAAAAGGTGAAGTCAGAGGAGTCCAGGGGGAAACCAAGGAAGACACAGGGAAGGGCGCGAGGGGAGAGGTTATCCGCGGAGGTGTTGCGAACAAGCGCCAAGCAGCCCCAAACACGAAAACGCAACGCAGCACCAGGGGACCCGGTCCAAAGACTGGTCGGTGAAGCCTCTGGCCAAGAGTCATGTGGCCAGAGGTTCAGCTAGTGAGCGGCGTACCGAACCGCGTAGGGCCACAGAAAAGGGGCGCACGGGCGTGGCGTCAGGCGCGGCGTCGGGCGCAGGGCAGGCGCGCGGACGAGCAGGCGTAGAAGCGCGCGGGCAGGCGCGGGGCAGGCGCTCGGGCGAGCGCGTAGGGCAGGCCCACGGGCGGGCGCGTAGGGCAGGCACGGCGAGCGGGCACATAGGGCAGACGCGGGCGGGCGCGTAGGGCAGGCGCGGCGGGCGCTAAGGGCCGGCCCGCTGGCGGGCGCTTAGGGCAGGCGCGGCGGGCTCTAAGGGCAGACGCGGCGGGCGCTAAGGGCAGGCGCGCGGCGGGCGCTAAGGGCAGGCCCGCTGGCGGGGGTTTAGGGCAGGCGCGGCGGGCGCTAAGGGCAGACGTGACGGGCGCTAAGAGCAGGCGTGCGGCGGGCGCTAAGGGCAGGCCCGCTGGCGGGCGTTTAGGACAGGCGCGGCGTGCTCTAAGGGCAGGCACGACGGAACGGGGGACGGGACGAGACGGGCGCGAGAGCGGGCAGAACGCGCTGCAGCAAGCGCGACTGCAGGTGCGCGGGAGACGGGCGTACGAAAGGGCGCTACTGCAGCGTTACGAGACAGGACGGGTGAGGCGCGTGAGGCTCGGGAGGCTCGGGCAAGAGGAACGGGATCCTACAGGATCCTAAGCTAGGTGATATCATGTCAGAAACTGAATTGTGTGTGCATTGATGTGGGTTGGGGCACATATGCCTAACCCTAACATTTGTACCCTATAAGATAAGCTACACTACAGGCTATAACATTTGACACTAGGCTAGGGACACTGAGTGCTCAAGGTACCCAAAAATCAATCTGAGGCCCTAGGGTAGGCTAACGTCACGACTTGAATTCCAGAAAAAATGCTGATGTAATGAATCAGCTCCAGCAATCTTCGCTTTGAACTCCAATTGCCATTTACCATATAGAGCAATACATGGCATAGTACAGCAACTCGATCGTTCCAAAATCAAGATCCAAAATACCAGTTTTCTACAGTCTCCCGCAAACTCAAACCATTTGAGACGAATGTGTTCCACGATTCGTAGTTGATGATACCATGATTAGGTGCGTACTGTATAAAGCTGCTAAACCTAGCTGATTTCAACGAGCCTGTAACCTGGTGCAGCAGCTGCGCGAACCCAATAACTGCCCGGGACTCGGCAGATGTACACTCTTTGTTTGCATTCTTTGTTGCGAGTTCTTGAGGCGATACATTCGCCTCTATTTGTTCCATTAGATCTGGTATGCTCATAACCTCGTTGATGCACTTCAAGGCGTAGGTTCGGTTGTTGGGGGGAAGCTGGTTACCGAGGATGAGGGCATTGATGTCGAAGAGCGAGTTGACTATGAAGACTTGCGACTTGATGAACTTGGTCGCGTGCTCGGGAAAGAAGCATTTCCACTTGCTCGTTGCGTCTTGAGCTGCAGCGCATTCACACAAGGGCGTGTGACGCGTACACACACAAAAAGAGATAAGTGTGTAGCAGAGGTTTAGTGTAGCTGTTATAGCAGTGACTGTGGGCTGATACATGTAAAAGACATGCACTGCAGCTTCTGGTAAGCGTCAGCTAACTAGCACTCAACAAAAGCCAGCTTATTAAGCCACTATCTTTCTTACCTTCACTCCTGTAAAAGAAAAGGTAATAATAATAAATTAAAAAAAAAAAACAAAACAAAACAAAACAAACAGCTGGATGAATGCTGAATCTGGTTGACTATGGAACACTGTAGCTCACTTACCTGGCGCATCTCGGGTTGCCAATGAATTCATGCAGCGCTGCCATCCGGATTATGGTCCTCTTGCCTCTGTGCTTCTCCCCTCTTCCCTGTCCAACGACTTTTCTGGCGCATAAAAAGGCTCACCTCTTGCACATCTCGGGTTGCTGCCGCTGAAAAGATGCAGCACGGCCATCCGGATTATGGTCCTCTTAACTGTGTGCTTCTCCTCCCTGTCCAACGACATTCCAGGCGCCTAGGAATCTCACTGACCTTTCAGGCGCATAAAAAAGGCTCACCTCTGGCGCATCTCGGGTTGCCGATGAAATCATGCAGCGCTGCCATCCGGATAATGGTTTTCTTGAATGCGTGCTTCTTCTTCCTGTCCAACGCATCTGGCCACATGGAAAGTTGGGCAGGAAGGGAAGGGAGGTGATTTGAAGATGGTGAGTTAGGGGATTCCAGTGCTGGAAGAGAGGAAAGGAGGTGAAGGGAGGGAGGGGGTTAAGGGAGGGGGTTGGAAGGATAGGAGGGGAGAGGCTGAACTAGCTACATGTACAGTGACGCTTGGATACTGAGAGGATTCAAACGCACCGAGGAAGAAATCCAAGTCCATGAGACAATTGGTGAAAGCAGGGAAGAGTGGAAGGGGAGACAACAGGGCGGGGAGAGACAGACGCACCGAGGAAGAAGGTCGGAGTCCATGAGGGAATTGGTGGTGCAAGGGAAGACAGAGCAGTATCCATGAAAGAGGGGCGAGGGAGAGAACGCACCGAGGAAGAAGCCCGAGTCCATGAGGCACTTGGTGGTTTTGGCGGAGGGCACGAGGGCGGGCAGCTGGTCGCACAGAGTCACAACCGCCTCTGCTCCCGCCGACACCCCCGACAGCAGCACCTGCGACGCCGTCTTCAGCCCGCGCCGGTCGGTCACGTCTGCAGGGGAATTCAGGAATGGGGAATATAGTGGGAATAAGGAAATCTGGTAAGACTCTCCTGACAACTCCCCGGACATAGTACCTGGGACGCCGTTTTCAGGAGGCGGTGTGATAAAGCAGCCTTGATTAGGATCTGCTGGTGAAGCTACGGACGAGACTGTTTGTAACCAAAGCTGTTTTTAGCGGATGTTGATGAACCGAGTAACTCAGCAAGATAAACGTCTCCTGTACTCCTCAAAAGGATCACACCGAAGCGGGTCTAGAAAACCTAGGGATTTGTGAACCCACCTGTGAGGACGGCTTTGATGATGTTCCAACCCGAAAGGTACACTCCTTCGCTTCCGCTCACGTTCTTGAACCCCGCGCGGCCCGCGAATCCACCCCCGTCGCAATACACTGGCATCACTAAGTTCCAATTGTAAAACCGTGGATTTTCCGCCTTGTTCACACTTAAAATTCCGCGGTACCCCTGCGAGGCCTGGAGGGGAGGCGTGACGAGGGATTGAAAGCGAATTCCTCAGGAGGGAAACATTCCCAAATCTCGAGTGGTAGCAGAGAACACAGGTTTGCACGTCGATGCCTTTCGTTCTTTCGAGCAGGGTATCTTCGAGAGAAGTAAAAGGTACCCTGTCATGACGTTTGAGCCGGCTCACACGCCTTTCACGGTAGAAATTCTTCCTTGAGGCACTGGCACTTTTGAGTCGATTCAAAATGTGTCGTGTGCCATTGTAACGAGGTGACTTTTGAGTCGACTCAAAAATCTCCTTGAGGCACTGGCACTGTTAAAGGACGCATAAAGTGCGCCTTATCACCACCTTAGAGTTCACTCTATAGCCGTACTAGGAAGAAGCCGTGAGTTAAACTTAAAACGCTCCGAGTACGCCTACGCCTACCTTTCATCCGACTCAATCGATACTAGGAAAGAGCGTGGAAGCTCATGTAGTAGAACGAGTCCGGGTTGAATTGCAGTTTCGGTCTCGTCGAGTCGCGGTAACTTTTGAATCAGTGGTGCAAAAGTCACAGGGAGGGGATGGGAAGCGTGAGAGAGCTTATGAAATTCGGGAGTTAAGGAACATCAGGAGCATACGGGAATCGGGTGCTATAAATGGGAAGATTATGGCGGCTCCCGAAGTGGGAGCTTACGTTGTTGAAAGGGTTGGTGGCCTGCAGTTCCGGTTTCGTGGAGCCCGATGTGAAATTATTGAGGTGACTTTTGGTCCTCATGAGTC